TGTGTCTCTCTGTGTCTCTCTGTGTGTGTCTGTGTCTTCGTGTCTCTGTGTCTCTGTGTCTGAGTCTGTGTCTGCGCTGTGTCTGTGTTTATGTTAGAGCTAATATCCTTGGAAGTTTCTTGGTTCAGAAATTGGGATGCTTTGATGTTTAGACATTTGTCTATACTGTTGAAGGACTGGTGTATTGCAGCAGCAAGGTTTGTGATTTTCGTGGTCCACGACACCCCGTTAACGTTAGGCTGCTCAAGAGATCAGCGTTTCCAGGTCTAGCATTTTGGGGTTTTGGGTCCACCCTACGGATTTAGACCTAGGTCTTCTTGTCGCGTGACGGCAAAAAAACGGGTTGTCTCTTGCGAAAATAGTGCCCCAACACACCCAGGGTGTGGGACGGCACACACAGCGAAAGGCAGTGCTCGTGCATGGGTATCGTTTGAAATAATTCACTATGTACGGTTATCAGCTTACAGAAAAGCACACATAGGCATAGATATAGTTTCTACCAGTCCCATCATGTTCATGCACATGGGACACCAGCACATCCAGATGCTGTGGGTAGAGACTGAGAAGGAGCAGCGTTTCATGAAGCATCAGAATCTGTTCCTGCGCGCAGCAAAACTTTAACACACAAGGACTATACACAACATAGGGCAATGGACTGTCAGAAACACAGCAGGCACCAACACAAAGAGAGTGTTGTTGCCGAGTTTGTATGTTATGCTAAGCTCGCAACATATTGAGAGACATCGCCTACATTACGCAGGTGAGCAAGACATCAGGCAACATCGGTAATCCTCGCAACAAACACATATCTAAATTCGTTTCAATTTTCTCTAGACCCCTCATGCAAACTCATCTCTATGTTGAGGGAATCGAACAGTTTCCTCCAGGAGAACTCGCTGCATTTGTGGCAATCATGTTATGAGATATTCTATCTGGCAATCAGCAGTGCTCGCAATTCCTCCTACTAGTAGTATCTACATTTGAGTGCTCAACAAGTTGAGAAGTGTAATCTTTCTCGTCTGTCGTGCCAGTAGTCACTTTAGTCGGGAGAGATGACCGACAGTATCTAGGCACTCGATTTCGCTCGTGCAACTGGATGTTCTGGCTCATCGCACCTTGTCTATTTCCATTCCTTTCTGCCGGTAGAAATGACCAGATCCAGCTCGTTCATTTGATGTGTTTTGTGGCTGCGCGAGTTCACCCATGTCATAAATCATATGTTTTGTAAGTTGCTAAGCTTTATCACTGTGGTCCTGTTCATCTGTTTATTCACACATCAACTTCATTCCTTCAGGACTGAACTTCCCCTGCAACACACGGAGACATGGTTTCCCGCGGTACATCTGTATCAGTCCCTCTATATATATCCCAGGCATGTCTGATCCATCCACCTGCGATGAAGCCGATATTGTTAACAATTCTGGTAGTTTGACCCCCAGAATTGAAGTTGAAGACCCAGGCTTCCATCCAATCTTCCACGGCAGGCTTTGCTCAAGGCAAGTCATCAAATCTTGGAGGAGAAGTTGGAAGGAGGCTCCACAGCCGTGGACTGAGAAGAAGCGCTCAATTCGCGGCTCCAGGTGCTGCACAGAACGTGCGGAAAGTTGACATTGCACTTCAGCTATGCCATTGCCAGTAGTAGCTCGTAGATGCCGTAGACGCGGTGGCGGTGGTGGTCGCAGTAGTTAAAGTAGTCGCAGTCGTCGTAGAAATAGCAGCAGCAGCAGCAGCAGTAGCAGTAGCAACTAGCAGCAGCAGTAGCAGCAGCAGAAGCAGCAGCAGCACCAGCAGCAGGAGTAGTAGTAGTAGTAGTAGTTGTTGTTGTTGTTGCAGGAGTAGGAGTTATGAGTAAGAGTAAGAATGAGAGTAACAGTAGTAGTTGTTGTAGTTGTAGTAGTTGTTGTTGTTGTAG